GAGAGAGAGAGAGAGATTTGTCACACTATCAAATCTAGGTAAAATGATGCAATAAAAGCAAGAGATAAAAAATCTTGAATTTAACAATGGAATGCTAAAAATGCCTCAATATACAGTAAAACAACTCACAATGAAGCTCAACTTTTATGATACAACCAAGCATCAATAAAGATGTCACCAAGAATCAAAATCTAAAAGATGTGAAGAATAAAACGCCACAATGAAATCAGCACACACCCCCACAGAAAATTAGTCTTAAAAATGTGCAAGAGATTCACCTATATACAGAGACAATGTCACCGAGGCAGTCGAAGAAATGGTTGATGTTGATCTTCTCTCTACCAGAATAAATAGCTTCAGAGTTGCCACCTTTTTCACCTTGGGCTGCCATCTCCACCAGCATATAGAGCTTCTTGATTGGCATCTGCAAACAAGAAACAGAAAAAAAATATAGCAATTTCATCTTACAATACTAAACATTGCAGAATATATGCATATCACAAAAGGTGCATAAAAGACGACTAAAATGCCTTAAGACATGATGGTGGTGTTGGTTTTACAAATTTTTGGCTCCAGGGAAGGTTGGTCGTCATTTTTTGAAAACGAAAAATCTGAATGAAATGGCAATTTTTAACAGTGCTTAGGGGCATTCTAGTCAAGTTCCATAGATCAAACAAACATACGTTGTTTAATGCTTCTGCTGCTGCATCTATATCATCTTCAGAGAACACATTAAGCGCAGCCAAAACCTGCAGCCACAAATCATAAATAAAAATATCAATATGAAAACAAAAACAAACAATCAAAACTACTGTTAGGTTAATCCGAACAAAACACAAACGAGTAAAGTCCTATCTTGTTTATTTTATTCATGTTAAATGACAGTAACTTCAAAATCTTCTACTTTCTAATGTCAGTGAAAGCTTTAATGAAACCCGAGTATGATCCTCTTTTACCTTCTTAGCATCTTCAGTGTGCAAGGTCGGGACATGATAAGTGACAGAGAATGCATCACAGATACCAAGACTCTCCAAAAAGCCCACCTCACTGGTTGTGCCGATCACCAGAACATTTTTACCCTGGTGGAAAATAAAATCCAGTGCATCAATAGATAAAACCATGCTCTAGCAAGGGTGGATCTAATGTATCCTTCAGAGCATGTGTCACCTAGTATCAGGCATGTTTGTTACATGGATGTTGAAAACACAAGAAGGAAATCTTTAAAAGAATACAAAATTTCTAAAGAAAGCAGAAAATTGGAATAGAAAAGGAAAACAGGAAAGTGAAAAATGCGAAACTGAAAACAAAAAAGAGGAGAAAGAAATATAATAAAATTAACGCATTCAGACATAGATTAGATTTTAAAAATGAAATCCATTCTCTTGGGGAAACAAAGTAAAACAGGTCATAAAGAAAAATAGAAACGGTGAACAGAGTAGATTAAACTGTGTAGCTACATCTTTTCAAGAACAACAATGTTTAGGAAACTGAGTAGAGAGGAACCTTGGGAGGAAGTCTCTTGAGGAGCACCATCAATGTCTGTGAAATCAAATTGGAAAATCGTGGACCAATAGGCACATACTCCAATAGCCTGAAACAGAAAATATTGGTTCATTGAGAAACCACACCACATTAGTCAGACTCCAAGGAAAAAAATATGAACAGCGAGAGAGTGAGTGAGTGAGTGTGTGTGCGTGTGTATGTGAGACAGAGAGAGAGAGAGAGAGAGAGGCAGGCACACCACACTACATTAATCAGATTCAAATAAAAGGAAATAATAATATTTACAATAATAATTGAAAGAGAGAGAGAGAGAAGTGGAGTGGTGGGAGTATGGAGAGCATTTCGCAGATAACTCTTAACTCAGAAATAGTTAGGATTATTTCACAATCACTTCCAGTTTCCGAAATCTTTAAAAGCCAAGAAAATTTTGCCAACAAAGTCCAAACCTGTATTTATTTGGTTTTGCATAATGAAAGGAAACCAACAGGAACCTGTAATAATTTTCAATAAGAGGATTTTGTGGGAAATTACTTCAGCAGGACTCACCTTTCAATGTCATCGAGGATGATAATACTTAATTGAGACTTGTAAGCATCCTCAAACACCTGGTGGTTACAGGAAAAAATACTTTAATTTCCTCCAGTCTTCCAAATATTGAATCTTCAATTTAGCTTACAAACCTTGACAATTTGAGCACATTTGCTGGCCTCACTTAAACCAATCATTGTCTCTGCAGATATCTGTATTTGTCCGTAACAATATTAGACTTTCTTCTTTTTTTTTGGTTGGGGTGAACAAAACATAATAATAACCACACGAAGTTAGGATAATAAGTTAGGATAATTGTACGGGGAATTTGTATATGCATGAGCTAAGGGCTCTTACAATTTTAACATAAGCAAAATCGCTGTCAAGACCAATTGTGGCAGCCATGGCAGTCTTACCACTGTCACAAATTTCAGAAAATTGGAATTAGAATCTAACGAGAATTAGCACAATGTATTATCATAAAGATAAAGGAGAAAGGAAAAATGAACCCCAAACCAGGGACCCACCTGCCACCTGGCCCTTCTAGAAGGCAAGTAACAAGGGGACTTCCTTTGCTCACTTTCACTTGCTCAACAAGCAACATTGCCCTTTTGTAGATGTGCTTATGTCTCCCTCCACAGTCCGCCATGCCATTAAGTCTGAACAGACAAACAAATTTAAATCATCAGAATTGCGAAGTTCACATGAAAAAAAAACATTCTAATTTTGCATATCAGTGTACCAAATTATTCATATTCATGTATGTGCACAAGTAATTCAGTGAGCTCAGCGGGTTATCACTGGAGGTCAGATAGACATAATTCACATTGTCTCATACAAAAACATAAGGGTGCCGTTTGTATAGAGCCTAGGCTCTAAACAATCAAATTACAGCCTACCTTCAAATAGTGTCCAGAAATGCGGTTTCAATACTGGAAATCTTTGTGATAGCCTTCAAATATATTTTCATCTTTATTTATAAATTTTAAAGCTTAAAAAATAATGTAGATCGACATATCTATGAAAACGTGAAAAGCTTGCAAATTGACGGTCCAAAAATGCATTACAAAATACACTATTTCCAAAACTTGAAATCCATTTTTTTCTCATGTCCATGCATCTGGACGTCGAGATGATCAATTTGAGGTTATTTGGGCATCAAAACAACATCTTCTAGTGAAAGGTTTGAGGTAGGCTCAAATTTGATTGTTTAGAGCCTCAGCTCTATATAAACTTTTCCCAAACCATAATTCACATTGTCTCAGAAAAACATATGATTTTGGTCCTCATTATAAGATAATTTGTCCTGGTTTTTATGCATCCTTTCATTCTAAGGTTGGAAACGAAAACAGAAAGCAGGTTACATCAATTGTGCAAGCAAATAGATACACACTGACAGAACAGTTCCAATTATGTTTGCTAAAAGCACCACACAAATTCCAAGCTATCTCCACAATCTTCTCGTAAAGGAAGAACTACAGTGCCTTATAGAAGCATCCTCGTGTCCATTGAAGTTCATAAATAGGCAGAAAAACTAAATGACATAAATAATTAAGATTCTCGGAATGCACCTGCATCTCTCAAGGTTGTCTGTAGAGGCCCCAAAGGCAGGAGTAATTTCGTGGAGAGCATTCAGAAAATCATCCATGGTAACCTTTATGTTTTCTTCATGCAAAGGCTTAGTAAGGTCATCAAGACTAATCTGCCTATTCAATGCAAATGAGACTGCGCTTTTGACGACTCCTTCAAGTTCAGCACCACTGTAATTCTTTGTGCGGGCAGCTGCATCAGAAAGAAAATTCTCCTAAAACTCCAATATTTTGGAATTTTTAAGGCTGAAAACATAAGGTCCAATAACTAAGAAATTCTGAGGTGGAAGGACACAAAAAATTTCAAGTTCTGCCACTAAACATAGTTCAGGAATGAAAAAAGCACCAAGATCAGTAAACTATAGAGTAGAATGGCTCCAACATAGTAAATCAAGAGTAAGTACAGACAGTAAGAATTAAAAAGCTATAATTTTTGCTACAATATGACAACCATTTCACAGTGATTCTCATTACGGTTTTCACTAAGATATTATGATTATGCCAATATGGCAAGCCGTAGAGAACTAAGAGGTTAACTCCGAGCAAAAACAATTGGTCCTGAAAAGGCTGTTAATAGTGGTGTTCTTTTAACCTGTGAGCTCCAATACAATAAGAAAAAATGTCAATTATCCAGCAAGCTCAGAATTAACTGGTTACTGGAAAATTTGGCCCAATAACTGGAAAAAGGACAATATACAGTCAACAAATAGATTAGGACCTTTTCTGATTGTTAAATGTAACAAATACATTGGACCTCTCAACATAGTTTTGAAATTTTTATTAATTATCAATTCAAAACAAAGAATAGGAACATGAGTCAGGTTGTCTTACGGAATAACCACACATCATTTCCAATATCAGGAAACAACTAAGCACGCCATCGATCCCTTGTCCAAAATAAAGAATGTGTATTCCTATCCCAGACTACTCTTTTGTTTGAATTAAATCCCACCACAAAGTGAAAATCCAATATGCAGCATCTACTCTCACTATATCACATACCAAGCTCCTGAAGGCTCACATCTGGAGCCAGAAAAGAATTTTCTTTCATTTTGTTTGTGTGTATTTGAAGGATTTGCAAACGACCATTTTCATCAGGGAGACTGATCTCAACTTGAACTTCCAAACGTCCGGGCCTGCAAAGGGGAAAAAATGTTCGTGATTCAAATTATCATCCACAATGATCAGTAAAGAGATGGGATTTCCCTGAATAGAAAGAAATCATGGTAGCAACCCCATGCATAATCTGCTAGCTTGCAAGGTTAAAAAACTTAAAACAGCAAAAAATAAAAAATAAAAATCTAATCCAAGAACTGCAACAATTAAATCAATTTTCAGAAAAAAATTCCATTATTTTTGTCTTATAACTGGATACCAATACCGTATGTTTAAACTCAAATAAGAAAATTCATGACTCAGTGAGATGCTCAAAGTGTCTCGAGCTAACCTCAATAGAGCTTCATCAAGTAAATCCTTCCGGTTGGTCATTCCAATCAGCAAAACATTGTTTAAAGACTCAACACCATCTATCTAAATTTCAAATTCACTTGTTAGTTGGGTCAGAAACATCAGAATAAAATTTCAATTTACAACGATTGACAAATGTAAATGGGTCAATAGCTAAGAAACTTAGACATTAGTAACATGAAAGACTCAGCATAAAAAGAATTCCTAGCTCACCTTTGTAAGAAGTTGATTCACAATGCTATCATGTACTCCAGTCCCATCTCTTGTTGATCCTCTTGACTGCAAATCACTCAATTGTAAATTACCATTGTTTGAAACTATGAAAGACAAATAACAAATCAAGATGCAAAATGATAAAATATGGAGAAAATTATAGCCATAAAGAATGCATATCTATGGCCGGCAATGAAGACCAAAACAGCACTCCCATATCAATAAAGCTCTATTACATAGTAGCATATTATAGTACTGAAGCCATTGGCTATGTCTTATACTGCCAGCAAAAAAAAAAAAGAGAAAGAATGCAGATCCCAATTAAAAAAAAAAGGGGTTATTGAGCTTCACTTTATTTTGAAAGCATTATTTTATTTTGAAAATCAAACATTCCTCAGTAAGAAATGTATACATCAATTACAGGTGCAGAAAACACAGATATGCACAGTAGACAGAAAAACATAGATACTGAATGGGAAGCACCCTACCTTACAAATGGCATCGATCTCATCAAAAATGATGACATGCAAATCACTTTGATCACCTACAGAAAATAATCAGCTTTAACAACAGGATATATGCCAATTACTCAAACATGTTAAACTTGTAACATTAGGGTTATATATATACTCACCACGGGTCCTCTGATCATTCTCTGCATCAGCAAACAAATCCCGAACATTTTTTTCAGTTTCCCCAACAAATTTGCTCAGAACTTCAGGTCCATTAACGATCTGAGATTACCAGGAAAATTTTCAGTACAAGGCACAACAAGAAAGTAAATGCTAGACCTTGACAAATATACATGGCATGTATGCATTTTATCACATGAGAATCATGAGTAGATCAGATTTTTCCTATTGAAGTTAGAAATCGTTGGAAGTATCAAGGAGTTATGCATGAACCTCCATGAATTTTTTTTTTTTTTTTTTTTAAAGTGTTATCCTTTAATAAGAGAGTGAATAAGTACAAGAGACATTGGCAATCCACAGTAAAGGTTGAAGGTTCATGGGATGAGAGGGCCAAAAGTGGAATCAAAATCCTCTTTTAAGAGGTTACAGTGAGACACAGCAACCTAGAAAAACAGGTCTATCCACCAATTGGGTCCAAAAAATAGAGAGCAAAAGCTAAAAAGCCCAAAAAACTTCTAGTCGTCTGCCATTGCTGCTGCTTCTTTGGCAACCTCCATGAATATTCTTACAGCTGGAATGTCATCTCAGTGTCTATGCACAGAAACAATATTCCAGTTTTCATCTCAATTTATAAGCTAGCCAGCATGATTTACATGATTTACAAAGACCGATTAAAATCCATGTAATCCATTGTGCCAGTCCCAAACAGCACCCATCTAAATTGTTCCCAACATTTCACAAGGCAGAAATTTGTATGAGCTAATACACATTCCATTATGATAGAGAACACTCTCCTCTTCAAAATCTAATGTTTCGGGAAGAAATAGCCAATCCAAGTATCCAACAATGGTTATGCAGAAATAGGTCAATATTGGTTTCGTGCATTTTCAAATCTGTAATATTGCATTCACAAAGTCCATAAAGCGAGAACCCAGGAAGGCTGGAAGTAGCAAATTTCAAAAAGTGATTGTAAGGTATCCAAAAATGCCATAGTCAAAATGAGAATCACAAGCATGATAAAAGCTATCCTCAGTTTTGTTGTGCATGTAAATCAATGAAATATGACTCATGAATGGCTCATTGCCACTGTTAAGTAAAGATTACAGTTACATATTTGCATACAGAGAATTTCCACATTGTAATATGGTAACACTTCTTCTAATATTCCAGCTTTATCACTCAGCTCTATGTATATAGTTTATGTAAAAGAATATGTACATAAACCAATGACATGTAGCCATATGGAACTTATAAATACCATCAATAACTTGCAGAATGTTATGCAAGCACGCCACTGCATGGTGTGTGCTACAACCAAATTGAGAAACTTTGTGATACAATTAGGACAACATGAATCTATCTCTGGGTCATGAGATTCCCTACAGCCATTTTTTGATCCTTTTTTGCTAAATGAACTGATAGCCATGCTTCCAATTACATTCAAACATTTTAATGAATTGAAAATAAACTTTATACCCTGTTGGAGGTGATTTATTGATGATCACAAATGATTTGCCATGAGAAGATTTGACAACATTAACCAACTCTTGAGTCTTGACAAGAACCAGCCAAAGCCACATGATCGGCAGGATGACTAATATTGCATCTACAAGGTTTCAATTCACATAATTTGTCACATATGGAACCATACATGTCATTAGAAGCCTAATCAAATTCCTATTTGTTATATTGATAGTTTTCTGTGATTAATAGAATGTTCCCAATCTTTCCCCCAATACGTTCACATCATTAAGTCATGTTGGAATACCTTTGGTTCCCGACCATTCAACATTTTTCCAATCTGCCGAGCCATAAGCGTCTTGCCAGTACCAGGAGGCCCATAGAGCAGCATTCCCTTGACATGCTTGATACCCAATCTGTAACAAACAAGCAACACATTTTCAAAATTTTACTGATAAGTACGACAAAAAATCATGGCTTTTCAACAGACAGCAAGATGCAGATCAACAATACTGCTTATTACTTGTTCGTCACATGTGCTGGAAAAACTCGAGAGGCAAATGCTCTACGAAATATGTCTGTGAATTCTGCACTTAGACCGCCAATGCCAAGCGACAGAAGGTTGAAATCTTTTTGCTTAAAAATTTTACTGTTAGCAGCTTCCCGTTGATTGACTATCTGCAAAGACCATAACTTTGATATTTCAATATGGAAAACTATAATGCACGACATTGCATGTTGATTTGCTGAAAATAACATCAGTAAAGAAGCTCAAATCCAGAGACAATTACTATAAGCATCACATGAAGATAATACTTCAAGCACCTTTATCCCTGTATTTGGAGAACATTCAAACACAATATACGTCTCAGGAGAAATCATTCCTCTTTCAAATGTTTCAGACTCTTCCTGACCCTCAATAACAGCTTGATTAACCGTGAAAATATAATTTGTCCCATGGTATTCAAAGAGTACCCTCTGCCCCACGGTCATAACCTGTGCATAAACAAGTCCATTTAGTTTTCATTTATTTACCAAAATAAGGACACTGTACATGTGTAAGATGGCTTCTAATAATTTTATATACCACAACCACAGCATACTCTAGCTCCCAGGATATGAAAGCAAAACGATACCATTATGTACACATGCTCTTACGAAGATATTACGCATGCAACCACAATGTGCCATACTCGAGCTCCAAGGATATGGAACGAAAGAGATACCATCATGTACACATATACTTACAATTTACAAAGTAGTACATGTGCACCATGATCCATTCCAGCTAGTCACAGAAACATTCATAAGTATTACCAAAACTAACACTCGAACTCATGTACTGAATGGAAAGGAAAAAGATTGGTATCGCCTAAGTATCAAAGAAGTAAAAAGTTTCATTTAGATACACTTGCTTCTTCTTTTTTGTTGTAAAGATCAAAATGTTAAATCTAAATAAATTCTTCCATTTCTGTTTTAAGAACTTAAGCTCCTTCAGAAGCATTTAGTAATAAAATTTTCTGAAGAAATTCATCTTAACAATCATATTCTATAAGATAGAATATTACACCAGAATTTCTCCATGCAGGTTTCAACACAATGGCCGATCACTAATATTAGGATCAAATAGATGTGTGTCTGAATTTTGTGTTTGTGTTTGATATATATATACCTATGAGAGCACACAATTGTCTGTTTACCACTGTATACATACTCATGCTGTTATGGATGCATATCTATGTCCATATATGCAAAACAAGTGCAAATACATGCATACAAAACATTGCTATATATACATATACATGCATGATTGCTGACTGAAGCAGAGCTGATCCTATTCCAGATCTTCTTCGTACAAGGGCCAATTTGAATGCCCAGAAACAGCTCTTTAGGAGACGAAATCCCATGGAGACCATCAATCTCCTCAGTTTGGATTAAGGGAAGAAAAAATTGTGATCATAAAGCCATCTCGATATTTTGAGGGCCAAAATAAGGAGACCACAATTCCACCAAAATAGGTGGAATTGTGATCTTCTGAAAACAGCTATTCTTACGGATTCCATTTTATTGTTTCCATCCCAACCGAAGATGGGTTTGTGTCCGCTTAAAAGAAAGGAATTGAAGCCCTAACTCACACCTGCTACTCCTAGGTTAACACAGACACTACCAGGAGTGCCGTCACCTCTCCCAACCCTCAAGCTCGATACTACCAGCCCAGGTACTCTCTCTCTCTCTCTCTCTCTCCATTACAAAGTACCTCTCTCTCAAATCCCCTCTAAACTCTCTCGGCATGACAAGTACTTTATCAAGTGCAATAGGCTTCTCAATCATTGCCCATTTTAAAATGTTGTCGAAGGAATGGAAAAATTCCACCAACAATAATGAGAATTACACAATATTGAGAATGTCAAAAACTTAACCCAAAAAAAAAAGGGGGATGTAATGAATTTTTCAGAGACACATCTTCTAGGAAATCCAAAAAAGGGAAAGGCATCTTCCAATGTCACTTACCAAATGTTATCCAAACAGCAGACACCCATATCCCAAGAGAACACAATTACTGGATATGCTAGTTCCAGGAGAGGCTTCTCCCCAGAATAGGCATCTCCAGGTATCCAAACAGACCCTAAGAACCTAACTATATAGTTGAACAAAACAATTCATATTATCTTCTGACAGTGGTAGAAAATGTAATTACTTATACCTCACCAATTTGAGGAATTGCCTCGTACAGCCTCATCCCAATTCTATGTATCTTTCCTGGTCTAGTCTTGGAACGAGTATATTCATGGTTATTTTTATTTGTCATATCTTCTAGTGGTACACAAGTTTTTTCTTGATTCTTGTCAATCAGTAGTCAGATCCATGATCCCCAGTCAGATCCATGATCCCCACATGTACAATTTGGAATCCTTTCCAATGTCAATGAATCCAGGCCTACCTCTTCCCCTTGCCCTATTGGCTGAGCACCAAACTAATAGCCCTATCTACCAGTTCCAATGCTCCAAGTTGAACACATTGACAGATTTCCCTCATAAGGACCCTTATTACACAAGCATTATTGAATCAAGCAGATGGCATGATTGAAAAACCAAAAAAATGGCCTAATAAAGAATGATGTAAATGGAGGGGGGCTCATAGGGGTAAGGTACCAAACAACATATGTTCATAATGGTCTTTAAGTGCATAATTAAAAAGATACTACACTTCACAAAGTAATGCCACTTAAAATAATAGCAAGAAATTCCCCTTAAGACAAAATGAACAAAAGAAATCAGCGAAACCACTTACATTGTATGATAGAAGATTAACACAATGAGCTTCCATAAACAATTAAAGATAGGGAAATTTACCAAAATACATCTAACGTATAAATTATTTAACATTTTACCCACTTCCAACTGTTCCAACTATAATCAAGTGAACTTTGATGGGCTTTTCGAAATTAGATCAAAAGAAGTGAATAAAATGTGAAATAGTTCATCCTCTAGGTGTATTTAGATAAATTTCCCTGGGCCTAAAGGATAATTTAATGTGATAATTTGTACATATCGACTATTTACTGGGGGAGAAAAACATCAACATACAACACACTGAACTTGAGAAGTAATTACCCTTGAGAAAACAGAATATTGACCTGATATAGACATCTTTTACGGAGTTGTTGAGAGAGTTGTACAGCATCTATCTGCACGAAAGGGAACAATTATCAGCCATTCCACATCTTTTGGAAGAAAAAATCCCAAATAAACTAGGCAGAATTTGGGTATCAATTTTTACAATAAGCACAATGGTAGAGACAGAAAGTGAAACAAGAAGAACAAAGATGGTGAAAAATATTGTGTTAGTCCAACAATGGACACAATCTTACATGAAAAGAATTGAAATTACCTCTTCACTTTTACCCTTGGCCTTTACAAAGTCCAAGTCCACCGTCAACAATGCCAGATTAAAATCCTCTGGTGGCACAAATCTATGGACATTTATCCATTCATAACAACCATTAGATTTAGTCGACATGGACGATAAGATAAGGTCACAAACAACAATATTAAATGGTTCAAGAAACAGACTAGCTATTATTACCTAGTAACATGGATTGGGTCGTCAACAGAAACTTTTACATTCTTTCGTTGGATAACATTTAAAGCTATGCATCCATCATTCACCCTTTCATGAACAGTATAACTTCGTCAAGGAAATTTTATTGCATATGTGTTTTTCTTGTAGAATGCTTAATATATCATTAATGGTCTACAAGGGCATGTTGAACAATTGAACAATATATCGGTGAGCGAAACAACATGTAGTTACAATGTGCATTTTTCTTTGAAGAGTAAAAAATTATTTGAAGAGTAAAAAATTATTCAGAATCACTAAAGAATACACAAAAGCCGAAAATCAAGCAAATGCATAAGGATAAATATGGAGAGAAGAAAAAAGCAATGTTGCTTTTAAACTAAACCTCGAAAGCAAATAAAGAGATAATAAGACAACCACTAAATTATTTGCTAAAAGACAAATAGAATGCCATCCAAATTATTAAACACGACGTTCAATAAATCAACCGCACACAGAATGGCAACCTAACAGATCCTAATATCAGTTCAAGAGGTTATTTTATTTTGATAATTAACTGATTCATAAACAAACCAAGAGATGAATTAAGAAATAAAAGCCGAAACACTAGCCACTCTTAATCTTTGTGAGCAACTAGTTTCCCTAACTGCAATACTGCGTAAAAGCGAACAATAGATACAGCAAAACAAATGCTAGAAAAGTTAGAATACTTAATTTAAATGAAGCTAAGAACCTGCAGAAAACAAACACAATTCACAAAATCAACGGTCAGTATAAGCATCGGATTAGCAGAAAAATTGCAAATTTACAACAACTAGAAGAAAGAAAAAAAAAAAGGACCGATCGCCACAATTGCCTCAATTTCCGACACAAAGCGGGAGAATAAACAACAATCCTAGCAAAGGTAACTATCAATAACAAAATAATTACGCAAAAAATTAAAAAAAAAAAAAATACAGAGAGAAATGCCATAAATGAGCAATTAAATCAATAAAGAAATTGAGCTAAAATATGCATAATCAATCAATAATGGCATAGGGAAAACCAAAACAAATGTAATAAACAAAATAAAATTAGAAAAGGATATGTTACAGTGAGAACTATTGAATCTCTAAACGAGACAAGGGCGTAGCCTGAACGATTGAGATCAAAACGCCTGAGATCCCAATGCGAACAGTAGGCTAAGTTGGTTAGGGCAAGATCTGTCGATGGTGTGGTTATCACTTGCATTTCAATTGAGTCAGACGACCCATGCGCATATCTTCCAGCCATGTCTCTCTGCAACTAATTGAAGAACGAGATAAATGATAATTCTAGGGTTTCCCTCTCTTTAGTTTTAATGGTTTATCTGGTTTTACCTCTTGTCTCTCAGTTCGAATGAAAATAATAGGGAAATTTAGGATTTCCCTCTCTTCTGGTTGTTCTTTTGAATCTCGTATTTATCGTTTTGTAGTTTCAACCGAAGAATAGTCTAACAACTAAACCTGCAAAGAGAGACTCGTTTATAGGAGTTTAAATTAATGGGAATCTCAGCCGTTTAATCTAAATGAACGACTAGGATTGCTCTCACTGTGTCACCCTTTGCTTTTTAATATTTTTTATAAAATACTTTGTAGTGAAGTTTTGGGCGTTCCATCAATAGTTAGCCAGCGGCAAATAAATAATGTCGGTAATAAATCGATTTTGGTCTAATACCTCAGAAGCAAAAATTATGTCAAAAATATATAGATAGCCATAAATTAGGTAAGGTAGAGAATGGTCAATATTTCGGGTTCCGCTAAAAAAAAAAAATGAGTGAAAAAAATAGTTATGCAAATATCACAAAATATAAGAATATGTTGTGACTAGTGTATGGGTACACTAAAACTATTGAACAATAACTTTATGTCATTACTTAGTATCATTGAGGTATTGTTGAACAAATTTTTAATAATTACTACAACAATGCTTATTTTGTTGTAACGATTAACACCACAAAACATATGATAGATCTTTTGAGAGAATACAATACTACAACAAGAGCAGCAAACTAAGGTATGATTATTGTTCAAAACAAAAGATAAAAATACCCTCAATAGGATTGCACTTAGCTACCACACAAACACTCAAAAATGGAAAATAGTTGTCCACCCAAAACACAATGTTGTACACAACAATAAAAATTAAAAAAGAGAATGAATATAAATCATCCATCTAATTTTTGTATGCATGAAGATGGCAACAAAATGCTTAATCAAATCCAAATATTTGAAGTTGGCCTTGAATTCCTAATTGCTTGTATCTTTAGTTGTCACTGTTGGGATATAGATATATTGGGTTCATATTGATATACATCACTATAGATGTAAATGTATAAAGTTAAGTCTCTAGAAGACAGAGACTAAGTTATATGGTTATCAAGTTATCATACTATAATTATCTGTGATTGTCCTCTATATAAAAAGGAACTTATTGATGTAAATATTCATCCAATATAATGAAGATATAGCCTGTTGAGGCTTTGGATCTGTAGATGTAAGAGTTCGGACTGAACCACATAAATATTCTTTCTTTTTCCCTTCCAGTCACTAAAATTTTCTCTTGCTCTTTATGATAGCACTTAAATCTTTCTCTTGCTATTTATAATAACACTTTGTTTTTAGAAAAAACAAATATATTTTACTGGGTTACTCACTTTGAATTCCTAATACTGAATATCTTTTGAAAATGAGAGAGACATTTAATGTCATGTTGATTTTTGGAACTTTTGGCTCTGAAAACTAAGGAATTCCATATTTTTTGTAGTAGTTCCAATTTTTTATAACAGGCAGTGATACAGTGGGAGCCATTTGGATCTTCTGACTTCCACAAAAAGTGGATATCGCTAGTTCCATGCCCCTTATGGAAAACTGGATTTTGGAAATGGTTGATGGGGTGCAGTTTCATTTCCCAAATTTATTTCCTCTACTTTATTTATGTAGTATTTTATAAAACTGAAATCTAAAGGATTGTTTTGTTCAAAGTTGTGACAATAATAAGGGATTAGATAAATTTTTGTGTTGATCATTTCCCTAATTTCATTAGAAATCTGTCTTTATCAATTATATATTTTTCTAAAAAATGACTAAAAATGTTGATAAAATAAACCATTGTTAAAATATCATACTTAAAATTTAGGTTTTTTTATTTATTTTTCTTCTTGACCGCGTTGGGATTAAATAACATTGTTTTTAATTTTTTATCCAATTTCTAATGAAATTTATGTTTTTGGTTAGTTCCCCATTTTCATGAAAATTGCCTAAAATTATTTAATAATTTTATATTTTATTGTAAATAACTAATTTTCATGATCAATTTTGTCAGGGTTTTTGCACAAATTTGTGGTATGATTGATTTAGATAAAAATTTCTGATTTTTTATTGATTTATATAAAATCATTTTTGTCATGTACATTTCTTTACTTACTTTAAGATATGCTCTATACTTTGAAGGAATTTTATTTATGTAAATATTGTCTTTATTTTGTTGGGGTTCTTGTAAATATGTTGAATTATTTAGATCATTTTTTGCTTTTTCCCATATTTCAAATAAATTCAAATTTTGTTTGATGGGTTTTGTATTTTTTTTCTTAAAAAAATCTCACTTTTGAAAGTAAATATTCAATATAGAACTTCGATGCTTCCTTTAATTAATACTTACACATTGTATTTAATCAATAATATGGATATGACTATTAAGATTTCCTGCAATTTTTATTATGATCGACTTTGTGGCACTCAACATAAACTAGAATCTCGCACATATTCGATAATTCAATTGAAATAGGGTGCGGTTTGTACAGAGCATAAGCTCTAAACAATCAAATAAGAGCTTACCTTTAAATAGTGTCGAGAAATGCAGTTTCAATACTGGAAATCTTTGTGATAGCCTTAAAATATATTTTCATCTTTATTTATAAAGTTTAAAGCTTCAAAAATAGTGTAGATCGATATATCTATAAAAACTTGATAATCTTGAAAATTGACGGTCAAAAAATGCGTTACAAAATATACTATTTTTCAAACTTGAAATCCATTTTTTTCTCATTTCCATGCATCTTGATGTCGAGATGATCAATTTGAGGATATTTGAGCATCAAAATAACATCTTCTAGTGAAAGTTTTGAGGTAGAGCTCAAATTTGATTGATAAGAGCCTCGGCTCTATATAAACTTTTCCCATTGAAATATATGACACATTTATCCAAATTTCCCCTAGAAACATAAAATTTTGATGTTTAAAAAAAGTGAATATTTTTCAAATATTTTTATAAGCTTGAGATGACTGAGTTGGTCGAACCGATCCAAGTCCGCAGCTCTACCAAGTTGACTAGGACTGATTCAACTGCCCTAGGGGACTTTTGGAACACTTCTTATAGTGTTTCAAAACCACATATTTTTTATTGTTGGATCAATGATCTGGATTGAGATTGGTTTGAATCGATGATCTAGGAAATAAAAAACATGAAGTAGGAGATTATAGAGTGGGGATAGAAAGGGGATCTAAGAAAATGTTGAATAGGTTCAGAAAAGGGTAAAAAAACATAAATAGGGCATTTTATGGTGAACTCGTACCGATCTCAATCCAGATTGGCTACTGTTGATATCGGACGGTTAACATCACGTTTGAGACTTCAAAGCAAGTGTCACGCCATGCTCTTGTCCTCCCGCGCTACAATTTTTGCTATTTTCTTTTTATTTTCTTCATATTTTAAAAAAAAAAAACAGTGAAAACCTTTTAGGGCTAAACCCTCTCTCTCTGTCTAAACATGCAGGCTCGATGACTCTGAGACGAACTATAGCTTTACTTGCCCGATGTTGCCTCTCACCTCAAACTCTAACCCTAAATCACTTTTACGCCCTCAAGCCCTTGCCTCTTTACCGTATTCCTAAATGTCATCGCTCTCTCTTTTCAATTTCGGCATCGCACTTCCGTCAGATTCCGGCCAGGCAGGCGATTTTTCGGCCGTTTTCAATGCCGGGAAACTCGAAATCCGACCATGATTTCGGCGAAGAATTAGAAGAAGATGATGATGCTGATGAAGAATCAGAAGAAGATGATGATGCTGATGAAGGATCAGAAGAAGATGATGAATCTGATGAAGAAGAAGGGGAAGGAAATTCAGTGTCGAGATGTGTGGTTGAAAGGGCGGATTCTGCTGTTGCTAAAGCGGAAGATGCAGCGAATATTGGTTATAAGGTGATCGGCAGTTTGGGACCCTCGGATCGTCCATTCAAGTCGTGGGAGCCAGTGTTTGCAGTTGTTCAGGTATGTCTATTGTGTTTGAGAGTGTTTTGAAATTGTTGTCTCTCCATTTCACGCCATTGTAACGATCTGCTACAGCAAGTTTTGCTAAGTTGTCTATTGAATTGGCATCCATGGGAGGCTTACTGTTTTCTTATTTGTTACATTTCTTCTGTTTATTTTCTTGGTACCAATTAAAGTGAAAATGTCTCATTTCAAATGACTGTTTGCTTCATTATTTTCACATTGCTGTAGTATTCAGAATTTTCTGTTTGAATTGAGAAATAGCCATGCACATTTGAATCACAATGGACATGAGTACTCAGGGGGGTGAGGGTGGGAGGGAGAGCAGGTAGCAGAAGTCTAGTTTCTAGTCAGGGTATTACGTTTAGGTTGGTCACAGAATTATGGGGTGGTTCGTAGTTGGTTAATTGATATCATGTTACTCACTTCTCACATTGATTTTGACAAAGTTCATTTCTGAGCATTGCTGTAAATACTCTTTCTTTGAGTGGTTAATGAAGGAATCAGCTGGTAACACCAGGGACTTATTTTTCAAATGCATTGATTCCATTGAAATAAAATCTAGAAACATTGTGTACGATAATTGTACTCTTGATTCCTGAAATGGAAATTGGTAACCGATAAAAAGATAATTCCATCCCTTGTCAAATTCGATAGAACCAGCAAGTTAGTAACTAGAGTGCTTTCTATAATTATTATGAGTTGTGACCCTGACCAACAGTTTGGAAGTGGCATCCTGCACAGTCCTGCTTGCTTCAATAAAACTGTCGTTGCCAACAATGTGACATAAAGTTCATGATGATGCTAGGCAAACTCCTTTATTGTCCGGAAAGCCTTAAGAGAAAGTTGTGGGAGGAGACATCTCAGAATCCCATTTGTTAATTTTTTTATCAGTTCTTCCCATCTGTAGAAGTTTTTTTTTCTAAATAAAAAATTTCCCTTCCATTATGCTAGGCTTATTAACTTGAGAGAGTGAGTAACCATTATGACTGCCAAAAATGTAGAGGAAAAAATGGTAAAAATATGTTGGACGGGAAGATGTAATAGAATGGCTAAAAATTGATGTACAAATGTGAATATTCAGTGCTTCATCACAAGCGGGAACTGATACCAACTGAAAAACAAAGTTCTAAAGTTTATAGATATCTAACTTCTATTACTATGTGTACTTTGATGATGCCTAGGTTATGACACATGTTTATTGAGGTGCAGTGCATATAAGTTGGCTGTGCTGCACTGGGAAAGGTCCTGTAGTATGTACATGAGAGTGAATACCTTGATGGAATTGAAGAAGCCTATTGTTTGTAGGTTCATGGGCATGGGGACCAAGGGGATTTGGCAAGTGGCAATGGGGTTTCTTGGACTGGAATGAAAGTTGATTGAGCTTGGAAACTTTACGGGGTGAGGCTGATCTTTGAAACAAAAGACTGAGAACAAGGAGATGTGAACATCTAGAGTCTCTGTTTTAGGAAAAGGTGCTCCAGAACTGCTGAAACCTGAGTACTATACTGATGATCTATAGTTTATACCATGCATCATCAGCACACTCACGTAATGAGATAGAATCGATGACAAAAAGATCACATTTCCCTTTCTTGCTAGCCAAATAGACTTCACTTTTTTTGAGTCAACGGCCCCAGCTTCTACCAAGTGATCATAGGCCATAGGCGCATAGTCGCCTGAACCATCCGACGAATCATATGATGAGTGGGCACCATTCGGCGTATCTGAATAAAGGTATGGCGGATTTGCCAAACTTGGGCTGGTGAGATCAGAAAAAGCTTGCAATATGCCAACGAAATAATAAGTGTTACGTACTGATGATCTATAGCTTATACCATGCATCATCAGCACATTATAGAATCTATATGCCAAAGAAATAATAAGTGTTATGTACTTATATCAATCCTATGCACACATTCTTTAATGCCTTATTTGATCTTTGGGGTTGCAACTTGTGTTTTCTGCCTTTTCGTATTGTTATGTTTAGTATGAGATTAATAGAATGATATAGCAGTAATAATTGTTAATATAGTAGCAGTTCTAGACTCTGCTTACATGTCTAATTTCTGGTGTTAAGTTGTCAGTCTGTCTCGCACTTGTGGAGTATTAGATTCTTGAGGGCTACATGAACTGTTTCTGGCTATTGCTGCTTATTATTTTGTATATGATATTTCTACTTTGCTGGAAGTTCAAGTATGTGAATTGACTATCAAATTGGTAACTATCAAATTGGTAACTACTATTCTGGTTGTTCTTTTATATCTTTTGGTAAGTTATGTGGACATTTTTTTGCTGAATTTGGTCTTCTTGAAGATGGACGATATTATAATGTATTCCTTTTCGCAACCTGGGACTCCTTGAATTCGTGTTCTCACTATTTAATATGGACTTCCGCCTTTGTCTCTTCCAGATTGGTTCTCATCAATTTAAGGTCTGCAATGGTGATTCCATCTACACTGAAAGGCTGAAATATTGTGAAGTAAATGACAAGGTATAAGGTACTACAAAATGCACAAACTTTTGGTTCCAAAAAAATTAAAATGCATGCAGAATCTTTTTTCTTCCTACTTTCTTAAGAAAGATAAACATGGTGTTTACATGGATATGTGGGTTTTTTCCTATTCTATTTGTCCTTTTTCCAGTCTTTTACTTGGGTATGATGCTTAATAATTCTCTATAAGCAGAATAAGCAGAATTTTGATGCTGAGTTCTCTTAGCATGAAAAGAGTTTCTTTTGGACTCCATCTTGAGCAAGCTTAAAAATGGATATGAGATTAGCTTTCAGTAAAGCTGGGTGTTCCAGAAAAAATAAGATATCCGAGTTGTTTTTATGAAGTTAGACGATATCCATATTCTTAATACTTTATTTTCAAGCAGCATCATGGACTAGAATCGTAATGCTTATCTCCATTTCACAATTCCACAAGTGAAAAAATATAGGGTCTGTTGAGGTTGAAATTGAAAAACACGGGGTTCGTTATGGGGCAAGCAAAATAATTTGAGTGAATGGAGCAAATAAAATATTGAGATGCATATTTTGAGAATTAAAAAAGAAGAGGAAGAAAAAGAAGAAGAAGAACAAAAGGACTTGGAATTTCCAGATATACTACATCAATTTTTCATAACAAGAAACACAATCATGTTTCTGTCGGCCTACTGATATGTGAGCATTTTGCAGTTGATTTTGAATAAGGTTCTGATGCTCGGGTCAAAGACACAGACCATCATTGGTCGGCCGACTCTGCCAGATGTGGCTGTACATGCAGTGGTTGAAGAACATGTGAGAGACCATAACTTCTAATTTCCATTTTCTCTTCCTCTCACTAATGCTCTGAATTTAACTGTCGGTAAAATTTAACACTATAATGCATTTTTACTCAGGCCCTGGATGCCAAAGTGATAATTTTCAAGAAGAAAAGGAGAAAAAACTATCGCAGGACCAAGGGTCACCGCCAGGTAATATTCGCTAATATGGTTTGAGATTGGCTAATTTATTTCAATAGTGGTGGGATTGTTAATTTGGGTTTTCTTTATTTTCTTTTTACAGGAATTGACTAAGCTCAGAATAACCGATATTGAAGGGATAGATAAACCAGAAGCGGCTCCAGCTGCTGCTTAAAGACCAAACATCTGTGTGTGTGTGAGAGAGAATATCTGAGGATAACGTGAGTCAAACCGAACTTTGGCTTAACTCAGAATGGGCCCCTGCTGTTATTATTAGAGTTGGGGATGATTTTTGGAGATAAATATCTGAAGATTTTTGGAATTCCATTCATTGAATGTTTCATTAGTAAGGTGTCGTCAGTCTGCTAACTTTTGCCATGGATGTTTGGTTATTTCATGATAGACACTGTTGTTTTTCATCTGTCAATCTTGTTTTTCTTTTGGGATCTAGCCTCTTCTACCTCAAGATTTTGGGTACTAGAGATGGTTGTCGGTAAGGAAATAACATTAATATTCATTAGAAATAGGGTTTTGATATGCTATTTTAATTATTATTTTTTAAGATTGCTCGATTCCATTTAGACTATAGAAAAATCAGAGTCCATGTGGTTATAAACTTATTTAACTGTTCAATTGATAACTGTCCTATCCATGTATGGATGGTGATTGTGAGCGAGTTGGACCCGCTAGAACATGACATGATACGATGGTGGAACCCACTTATTTCGATCATTGACTGTAGGGATGATTGTAGGGAGAATTGCTAAGACTCTCAAAAATATACTTTTTAGACACTCTACCCTCACTTTAAACTTTTCTCACTTATTTTTTTCAAAAACCATCTTTTATACTTGATACCCTCAATTCAAAAAGTTATATTTTTTTTTTATGAAAATACCCTCCTTTCACATGACAAATCATTTTCGAATCCTAATAAAAGAAACACCAGACCGTATTTGTACAATGCCGACGGACAGCTCAGTCTGTCGTTTTTTTGCAAAATTTCGAATTGTCATATTAAAACATTGGACCGTAACTTTCAAATGTCGAACCGCCACCATGAAATGTTGGACCGCCACCATGAAAAGTTGAATCGCTTGGGCTGCCACCCCAACCAAGATCAGCACCATGAAATGTCGAACCGCCCATTCTCGGACCGCCACCAGGACCGTCATAATGAAACGTTGAACTGCCCATCCATTCTCGGACCGCCACCAGGACCGTCACCATGAAACGTTGAATCGCCCATCCATTCTCGGACCGTCACCATGAAACGCTGAATCGTCCATCCATTCTAGGACCGCCACCAGGACCGTCACCATAAAACGCTGAACCGCCCATTCCAAGAAAAAAAAATTGGGGGACCGGTTGGGGTGTAAAATGATGATGATGCAACCATTAATTGGACGGTGATGATTGGACTGGCTATAACCTTCAAGACTGGGGGCATAATTTTGATAGTGTATGTGGAACTCGCAATTTTCCCTTCATTGTATGGTGATGATGCAACCATTAATTGGACGGTGATGATCCGAGTGGCTACAACCTTCAAGACTGGGGGCATAATTGTGAGAGTGTATGTGGAACTCCAAGGAACATGGTGTAGACTTGTGCGCGTAGACTTCTATGGGGGGGATGTTTGTGCTTTATTTCGAGGAAGTTTTCCTTGTTATGATGAGCTTTTAAAAGTGATATTGAACTCATGAAAAATATTTATGAGTCCGAGAGAGGGAGTGATTTCAAGTCTACAGTAATATATGAAATGTACATTTAAAAATAATATCATGGGCATTTTTTCTGTACTAGATATTAAATATATATTTCATACGTTCGGTCTAAAGTGGTTTGGTCTAAAGTAAAAAGATAGACTTTAGTTAAAAACCAATTAAAACCAATGTTTAATTAATTTTTATTGGCTGAATCAACCAGTTTTGTATAAATAAACTTGCCAAACAAAGTTAGGCAATTTTTTGCAATAAATTCTATGACTTTAAATTAGGAAAAAGTTTATGAGGTGTTAGGCTTGTACTATTGATGTTAAGTGCACTCCAAACACCTTTTGGAAAAAGGTTGCTGGAAACTCTCAAACTAATCATCGCGATATATGGATACGAAGAGAAAAGAATTTGAAGTCATGAAAGAAGTGCATCTTATGATGCAATATTTGGACTGACCATTTTTCTAAATTTTTAATTGTTTATTTTGGTTGGTCTTCACTATTTTTTAGAGCTTTAAATTTCAGAAGCAAGTCCGATAATAGGTTTTTGTACCATTTAAAGGTTTTTCGGGACCAAACTTGCATTTTTCCGCATAATTTTAAAGTGTGTTGTACTTTGATTGTTTAGGGTTGATGTCTTACACAAAACTCACCTTTAAAATATTAATCATATTATTTTTATAATTCTAAAATTTCATTTAATCAGTTTGACCGATAGTTGAACTAGTTTCGACTGGATCAAACCCTTCATAAATTCATTGGCCAGTTCGATTACTGGAATACTATTATGCTCTCCTCGTAATAATGAATAGTCTAATACAAACAAATTTTTTAAATACACCCAAAAGTTTCTTTTTCTAACCCAATAAACATAAGCGGATCATTTGATGAGAATATTAGATATAGGCATTATGGGGATTCTTTTTTATCCCAAATTTGTAGATGGCCCTGTCATCATTAGAGGAGCAATTGTTAAAGAGAAATAAATGATCTTGAGTTATAAAATGCCTACAAATAGACACTCCAGTTTAAATGATTGAGGAGGACACAATTAAATGTTGGAGAAGGACTCAATGACATAATTCTTTTGCATTTCAAGGAGGGCCTTTGGGACATTTTCACCCAAAGACAAAAAAAAACATTTATCAATGATATATCTCAATTATGAAATGGAAGAAAGGGAAGGGTTTATAAAACGGATGTGGATGTGCCTCTTTGTGCAAGCTATGTCTCTTTCCTCCACAATCTAGCTTAAGGTGGAGGTGGAGTATTGAGTATTTTGTACAACTTATTTTTTTAGTTTGTAGAGATTGACTTTGCGATATTTGTAGTTTGTAGATATCTCTTAATCACTATCCGTACGATCAAGGGATGTTGATGTATATTGTTATATATATTTATATGTCAATAGAGAAACACACATTTTTCTCTTCAATTACGATTTTTCATATAACATGGATATGTGTATATAGTTGAGAATGGTTTGAGGTCTTAGCGGTAGTATTGTTGAGTTCCATGGTGAGGTTTTTGATTTCATTCTCACTAAAAAATAGGGGCTCAAAATCTCTATTGACTTACCATTTTACTTACCCAAAAAAAATATATGTACATAGTTTTTCGAGTGTGCTAGATGGCAATACCCATATCTAATGCTTGAGAAATCCAACACTTTATCTAAATATTCATTCTTGAAATCTTACTATACAAGTAATTAATGTCACGTGAAAACCCGCTCTCCCTTTTCTCTAAATGGTAGATGGAGCAATCTCATACTCCCTTTTCTCGAAATAGTGTATGTAGTGGTAGTGACCGGTGGTTGAGAGGCTAATTTGGAGATTAGCATTACTGACGCTTACATGTTAAGACATATATATATATGCAAGGAAAAAGCTGATGTAGGCCAACTAACCTACAATTACATATGAGTTCAATGATCCAAATTGAAGATGAACCGATTTAATGATTACGATTGAATTTCATATTAAAATTTTATTTTATATTTATATGAGTCCAAATAAGTTGAAATTTTGACAGTGTATTCTTTAAAAATACTAGAATCTAACAAAAATATAAAAAATAATAATTTATAAAAATTATATTGACCAAAATATCCCTAAAAGCTTTCAAAGGTATTTTGGTCAATTTGTATTTTATGAATTATTATTATTATTTTACTGGGATGCACCTTGATGATAATAATGGACAACTAAATTTTCATTTAATTTGGATATGTAAAAATAAATAAAAATAAAATATAAAATATTGTTGTGACCGTCATATTGGTCTATATTGAATTTGAGCCGTTTGACTCATATGTTGTTGTAGGCCAATAAGCTTATGCCATCTTTTTCTTTTATGTAAATGGACCTTAACAATATGTACATGTTGTGTCTTTCTAGTGTCTAAACATTGTACTGGTGGGTCAAACTAGTAGTCCACTAGTTCAAATCAATTAGAGCCACCTGGATCCATAGTTCACTATATATATGGAAAAAAGAAAAAAAAAAAAAAGGGTTGAAAAGTAAAAATGGGGATTAAAAAATGACTAAAAAGAGAGAGAAAAACACTTAAATTAAACTTGAATATTTTCTTACAAATAATAGGACATTTAAATCAAAATCAGAAATTAAAATAA